TTAACAGGTGTTCTGGACGACTGTTGCCAAAACTCGGTAATTTCATACCATTACTAAGACAAAGTACGCGAATTTGAGCTGAATTTGGCAAGCTTATCTACGCAAATAGACCATATATAGCGTCATGGCATAGAGAGTTTTTAGTTTTCCCGGGAGTTCTCTCTGAACTTGACGCAATTTTACATAAGAGACATTTTCAGAACGCAATACCAAATACGCAGAAACTTACTTACTCTCGGCCTAGCACCATGATTTCCATCGGCGTTTGAGTTTAGCAGAGATTCCTTCTTGGCTTAGAAGGTTAGGGATGACAAAAATCCTGCCGCAGATCATCAGTAAGCAAGAGCGTTTCACCGATGCGTCTCTACTCTCAGCTCTAGTGGAGAAAGAAAGAACTTTATTTGCCTTATGTACTGGCAAATTCGCCATATCAATACCCGTCGGCGTAGCTAAGCGGTAAGGCACTCGCCCCATTTCCTGAGCGTTCACGGTTCGCGCCCTCGCGGTGAAAATATTTTAACGCCTTGATCATATTTATAAATGCCGCGTAGGGCATCGCAGGGTTATTTTTTCCAAAAAAATCTGAGTGAGGATTGCATTTTGATTGAAACGTAATCGAAAAGGGCTCCTCTTGCTTCAGAGAAACTTCTGAACCCAAGGTCCAGGGCAGAGTTAAGAAATTTCATGAAAGATTACAAAAAGAAATTTCATAAGGAAATTTCAAGAAATTTTATGAGGAAATTTCATGAAATTTCTTGTGAAATTTCAAGAATTTCATACGATGAAATTCCTTTAGCAACTCTGGTCCAGGGTCCCTGTATGAGGGTATACAGTAGTATACAGGGGCCGTCCAATAAACTTGTTTTTTCTTGGAGGAAAAAGCAGACTCCAGACAGGAATTAATGTAGCATAGTGTTCAGTTAACATCCTTTAGTATAAATTACGTAAGACCTTTTCCCCATTTTTTAACCCCCATACTTCTCCTTGTGCAGCACCGTAAGGCATCCCTTAACCCCCCCCCCCAAATTACGTAAGTCTCGACTAACTCCCCCCCCCCTTTTTCAGTTATCGTAGATCGAAGCATGACGTTTCCCTTTAGAACACAATGAAATTTTTAAGCCACAATTTTTTTATGTGAAACCAAATTTCTGGAGTAAGTTCACAGGCAAGATTCATGATATAATTAGTTTAATAAACAAAAATATGGAGCAAAATTGAAGATTCTTTTGGCCTTGGGAGTAAATAGTTAAAAGTATAAAGTTGACGTGAGGATGAAGTCACTACTCATCATCGTGAGAATGAGTGGAGAAGTGGGAATCAAGAGAAATGATAGGGCATGGTTCGATCGGCCAGCAATCGGTGGTTTCCTGATTTCCTCTATTTCATCTTGAATTTTATTATCAACCTGACGAAATATGGATTTTTGCATTTTCTTGAAATATAGGCTAAAAAGTTGACGTAAGGCTCAGCCGTACCCTCTCCTCCCCCCTCGTAAGGCAACGAAAGGCTGTTATAGACCCCCCCCCCCTCCCCATGAGAGCCTTAAGTAATTTATGAACGGCCCCTTATTTAAATTTTTGGTATTCCTTATGGTCTTTATTACTTAAAATTCCTAATCATATAGATAATAGAAGAGAAATCATGCAGATTTTCCTTTAAAAAAAAAGAGCGTTTAATTTGGTTTGAATTTAAAAGATTCCTGCTTGGCCCGAAAGGCGAGGGTTGACAAAAATCCTGCGGCGCGTGGGGAGTGCAGTGAGTCTGCAGAAAGGAAACATCGATGCTCCCGATTGCGCACCAGACAGTTTGCGATGGAAATTCGGCAGGATTTTTGTCATCCCTGCCTTCCGAGCTCAAGGAAGGAATCTCTGCTGAACAGTCGACTCATTTCCATCGAATCATAACGTTTTTTGCGCTGTCTGTATAATGTCAGTGCCCCAGATGAAAACAAAAGTTAATGGAAAACAGTGTTTTTATGTAAAATCCAGGATGAGTCATCGTGCAGGAAAGAAGAGAAAATGTATCGTGACAAGCATAGAGAAAAAAAAGGAGGTGTTTGCATTTCGGGCATCTTGGAATTTTTCATAGAGTATCTATAGCTTTGATGACGTCATTGGGTACAGCGACGTTTTTATCCTGTCGATTTTCTTGGAAATGGTGTAATTTAAGGGAAAAAGTCATTCTATAAAAAGTGCTTGAAATTAAATAAAGAGTTGATTTAAGTAAAAAAATCGGACATTATGGTCCGTTTTTACAGCGTCAACATAACCCTCAACGAGCGCCTTGTTTACATTGATGACGTAGGTGGGTACAAATCCTCAAGATGCAAACACCTCCTTTTTTTTCTCTATGCGTGACAAGTACTCTCGTGAAATAGCGAAAACTAAGCCGCTCTGCATCACTGCTGTTTTCTGGAGGACTTGTGCATATATTTCTCCCAATTTTTTTTTTTTTTTGAGAGAGATTTATTCGGGATTAGATCTTTAGTATCTGTGAATTTAAGGGAAAAATTTATCAGAGGGTTAAGCAGCATTCAATTGTTTATACCCGTAAAAAATATTAAGGACTTTCCTTTTCGAACTCTCATAGGTCAGAGAAATGAATCCATTCCAAAGCATAATTTGATTTCTTTTAAATTTATCGGTTAAGATAAATAGAATATGCACAATGTCCTCTTTTTAGTCAACAATAGTGCCAACAATTATGTATTCACAATATGCGCGAGGAAAACTCAGATTTCCCAAAGTTTAAGAGTATAAATAATTGTTTTTACTCTCTTACGTGTAAATAAAGGAGGCTTATTGTTAGAGGCTGGAAACAGAGTTGAAGGGTATGGATTCGATCGACATAAGTCGATCGAAAACTAAAAACATGAATCGATCGACGTGGACCGATCGACAAATTATTAAATAACGGTTTCTATTCGATGGACATGAATCGATCGACGTGAACCGATCGATAAATTATTAAAAAAACTGTGTCTATTCGATCGACATAAATCGGTCGAAAATTGAAAACGTGAACCGATCGACGTGATTCGATCTGCAACGATTCGATCGACTCACAGGTTTGTCGATCGATTTACGATTGTCGATCGAATCGGTGTTGATCGTATCACGTGGATCGGTTCAAGTTTTGATTTTTCGATCGATTCATGTCGAGCGAATCGACGCAGTCTATCAATCATATGTCGATCGATTCACGTTTTTAGTTTTCGACCGATTCATGTCGATCGAATCCATACCCCCGACAGAGCATCATAGTTCACATGTTCGAGCTGACAAAATGCACTGCGTAGCAGAATGCACAGACCACACAAGATATAAATCCTAGAGTGATATACCTGTTGCTGCACACAGGATGTTTTAGTCTACCTCGCGAATTAAAGGCGGAACAGTAATGTGGGCAATTGCCATACTCTCCTCGTGTGATCACATCGCACGACACACACACATAGACGCAGGGCCGGATTAAGGGGGTGGCCACATGGGCCGCGGCCCATGCCGGCAAATTTTGCAATTTCTTTAAATGCAGGTATAAAAAAATTTGATTTAGAAAAAAAAATTATCAATGAGAAAAGGAGACAAAATCTCTCTTTCCTGAGAGTATAGTAATTCCTAATTTTGTCGTTTTTCGGTGACACAAGAGACAGCGTCTTTAATTAGTCGAGTTAAGAGAGGGACTAAACACGCAATTAGGCCTGGAGCTCAACGCAGAGATGAGAGGAATGACGACGAGGACTTGAGATGAAAAAAGACAAGCCCTCGGCGCGGCGGTCGGCATGTAACACATATTAGCGCCTACAAGACTGCATGAATACTTCACCCATTGCGCCAAACATAGCTAGTGCGGTCAGGAGCGGTTGGCGTGAAACGCATAGCGCCTACGAGACTGCATGAATACTTCACGCATTGCGTCACACACAGTGCGTTCAGCGCGGCGCAGCGGCGGAAGTTAAACTTATTAAACCACATGATTGTACATGTTTGTTCTTTCATAATTTTTTGGTTCATTTCATAGAAATGGAGGACCTTGTCTACATAGAGATAGGCTTACGGAACTTAACTTTCGCGCAAAGTTCCGTAAAATTTCGCCAGTAGTGTTGACAGGGCTTTCGCAAAAAATGTATCCAACACGAGTAGGTAAACGCGTCGTACGCACCCCTCCCCCTCCGACACGTTCACTTGATGGTTTTTATTGATGTTTCAAAACGAATGAGAAGGGGGCGGCAAACTACAGGCGGCCCATGGGTGGCAAGTAGGTGAATCCGGCCCTGCATAGACCTCGCTTTTACAGCGCTTTTCGGCGCTCTGCTGTCTCTTCTTCTCCCACTTAATTTTTGTACCGAAAACGTCACTTTCCTAGAACTCAAAAGAAATAAACGAGACAAAATCTGTATGATTCGACTCACTTGCACATTTATTTAAAACAGCAGAGGAGGAGAAGTAACGATGTCGAACGAAACTACGAAAGCGTTTTCTTAAATGCTTTACAACCGCCTTCAAAAACTCATGAAGCAAATCTATATGATAAAATGATTGTAATTAATAAATTTGCATCGTGTTAAATCACAGCATTTATGCAACTGCACTTTAAACAGCCAATGGGACCTGCAGCCTGCTTGTTGAAATTTATAGGAAAAGCGATAGACAAAAAAGACAAAAGGGTTATGGTGGGATCCTATTGGTAGAAGCGGGGAAGCAACGGTCAACGGAGGTAGGTAAGACTAACTAACGGCAACCCATGAGACACCCTTTAGTTAGTCCATCATTTTCTCCCTTAGGTTATGCGAACCACCCATTTCAACCAATAGGATCGCTCCACACTCTTTATGTCGTCTTTGTCTATCAATTTCAACAATCAGCTCGCAGGCCTGCACTGCAGCCACAGCTCTTAAAAATTAGAAACTTGAGAGGCGTTGGTTTCTGATTCGAAAAGTTTCATTGTTTCCCTTTGGCTGACGGCACGGCCACTATTTTAATAGCACCTGATATTTTCAGCTGATATGTGTGGCCTTACTGATCGTTTTTCTGGCTGGCTGTATTCTCGGTCGCTCTGAGGACCCTCGGGATGAAGACGATCCGTACAATCGGCTCAAAAATCATCATGACCCAAAGACCTTCGGCGATATTTTGTACGAGTACATTCGTGACATAGGTGAGTTTTTAACCGCCCGTCCGACAGGAAGCGCTTTTGATTTCAACCTGCCTGTAGAATTCTAGCACAGTTGTGTAGTGCGTTCAAATTAGAGTTCCCGCTTGTTTTAAATTTCTTTATTTAGGTAGGTATTATTCTTTTTTCGTGTCACCCGGAATGGTTTCCAAATCTCTAAAAAAGCACTCAAATCCGTAGAAAAGATGACATTTTTGCATTTATTTTTAACTGTGTAGAATTTTTGGGTGGAAATTCATTTGGAAATTTTCATGTTTTTTTTTTAAACTGGTTCATTTGCTTTAGACTCTCTAACCTCTTACTTTTCAACGTTCATCTTTAAACTACAAAAACATACTCGGTATACGCCAAAAATAGTCGGTGCTGATGACAGAACCTTCCGTTCACAGGGCTCCTGCACTTTCTTTGTTATACCTACTTACAGAGCTTCGGTCGTGAGCACATGAGTAAGGCTCGGACTGGCCATAGGACCAATCTGCCATTGGCAGATACGCCCCCTTGGCGCGCCAAAAACGCGCCCCTCTGATAGATAGCAAAATAAGAAGAGGAAAACAATTACGACCGAGAATATATGCGGAAAATTTCTTAAAAGAACGGAAAAAGAGAGAGTTAGGAGTGAAGAGAGGTGCTTTTACGCATAGTGGTGAACAGAGGTCCAAGAACTACTTTCTGAAGCGTAAACACTTGTCTGTGAACCTTTTTGTTGACATACAGGCGCTTTATCATCCCCCTCCTTCATTCTCTATTTCCGGCTATCGTTTCTACTCCCGTAGAAACGATAGCCGGTTCGATTTTCAGACATACGCGTACTTTATAGACCTCATGAGAGACCTTTAAACGTATTTCTTCCTTTTTAACATTAATACTGATTTGGACATATCATAGCATAGCTCGGGCAAACTTAACCTTAATCTATTTCGAAATTCAAAATTAAGAGACATCTAAAGTGTAAACGCGATACAACTATTCTCGCAAGATAGATGCCCACATTGCATATGAAAAATGTAAGACGCGATGGCGTGAGTCGTGAACTCGCAATGCTCTACTCTAGTTTAAAGCAACATTACAAATAAGACAAACGGAAACAAACACAATATGGAAATGAAGCGAGGGAAAGGATGCGCGTCAACGACGGCGCAGGGATACAACTATTCGTACTTGATGGACGTCCGTGCTGCATCTGAAAAATTGAAGGCGCGATGACGCGAAGCATGAGTTCCCAATGCTCTGCTATATGCTGCCAATAAGGTGTCGCTTAGATTCGGAAGAAAAGTTAAAAAAGAGGCTCGAATACGTCTTTCTTGTCGTCGGCTGTGTTGATACTCGTTCTTTCTTTTTTTTTCAGGTTCATGCCTGATTCTTTTTTAGGATGAATTTTTAGACCCACATCTTAAGCTCGTGTAAACCGCAGGACTGACACGGTTCTTGTGGAAATAATGGTGCTTGGATGCATCCAGTGGCTTCAATTTTTTTTGTTTTCTTCAATTTCAGAAGTCTGTCGGTCACTTCAATACGTTCAATTTTACAATTTTTACTCTGTACGATTTTTGAACCTGAAAATAGCGTAAACTTGTGCTGCTTTGCCAAAATTTTCTGAGCCCCTCACCACGAAGGGATGCCCCATCAGGAAATATCACATTATGCCCCTTTAACTAGCTAAGGGTCTACGCCCCTAGATGCGAGCCAGTCCGACCCTGACATGAGTGCTTTGTCCTCATAACGGAAACTTCCGTAGCTGTAACGAAGAAAGTGCAGAAGCCCTGTGAACAGTACTTTTTTTTCAATGTAGACGTAGTCAAATAAGAACGAATGCTTAAAAATGTTTGTAACTTGTAGTGAAAGTTCCTGTAATTGCAACGGTTTTCTTCTGCTGGGTATGCGGTTCGTTTGCCGACGAACATGGGAGGGTTGGAGCGATGCAGCTGTTTTTCATGTTGTCAGGAATCGGATTCGGGTTCCTTGTCTACGCCCAAGAGTATGAATTCTCCATCCTCGGCACCTTCATTCTCGGTGCAGCTCTCGGTAAGTACCACCCCCTCCCCCTTACTTCTGCATTAAAATAGTCCAAAAGTAGGAATTAGTGACCTAGTCACGGTAGCGTTCAAGAAGCGCTTTTACGGGAGCAAGAATGACTCGAGCATTAATCGAGTCCTTCTGATGTAAAGAAGGCGAGAGCTAAAGAACAATACCGCCTACTTGACAATTTTGGCAAAGTAAAGTCAGCGACTTCGCCGCATTTTTCAGTATAAAATATGCAAAATGATGGTTTTATTTTTCTTCCAAGTCTTTAGAAGAGCGCTTCAATGGCGCTGTGATGTACGAAAAAAATGCAAATCTAATCTTCACATTAAAAAAATGACGGAAGTTCTCTCTGTGTGTTGCGAAATCGTCAGTTTGTAAATAGGCGGTATTATTCGTAGGGTTTCGGAGGGTATACCTCGAAAAATTTTGGAAATTTCTTCTACCTGAAAGATGCATTTTGAGGCTATTCTAACGTAAATTTTTTCCTACGCAAACTGAATGTTCGATTCCACCGACAATCCTAAAAAATACCTCAAACTTTTCCATGTGCGAAGAAAAAAACTTCGTGCGTGGGACCCGAAGTTGAGGTCATACGGATCTCTGATGTTTTCGGATAACGCATCCGAGAACTTGAGGTCCAACTGCCGGAGTTCGGGTCAGACATCTGAAGTACTTAGGTATGTGCTGGAGCACTTCAGATGTGTGACCCGAACCCTCCGGTATATACCTACCAAAGTACTTCAGATGTCTGACCCGTACTTTGGCAGTTGGGCATCAAGCTCTACGATGCGTTATCCGAAAACTTCAGAGCTCCATATGACCTCAACTTCAAGTCCCGTGCACGAAGTTTCTTTCTCCGTGTGTGAATTTTTCTGTGACACTAGCGCAACTGAGCAATTTTAAATGAAACTCCAGTCGATTCAAATGGAATGCTTCCGCAGAAAATAAAACAAAACATTTTCCTAAGCATGGATATCAGTGGCGTGTCGTGAAGGATCGATTATCGATATATCGCCATTTGAAGCTATAGTAAAGAATCGATTACTAAGGTGTTCGCTGCGAACGCCCTGACAATCGATCTTTTTTCATAGGTTTAAATGGCATAACAATCGATATATCGCAATTCACGCCACGCCACTGATGGATATTCTTTACAGGTTGCAGCATCCCTGCCCCGATCTACATCGCGGAGCTGTGCCCGGTGGCGTACCGGAGCTTCTTCCTGGGTCTGGTCCCTGTGGCCCTGTCCCTGGGGATGTTCACCGTGGACGTGATCGAGCTGCGTGGAGCCGAGGACACGGCCTGGAAGAGCCTCTGCTGCTTCTCCGGCATCGGGTTCTTGCTCAGTCTCTTCCTCCACGAGGCTCCCGAGTGGCTGGTCATGCGCAACAGACCCGACGCGGCCATCGAGAGCCTCAAGTGGCTCAAGGAGACCTCCGTAGACGTGGACGTCGACCTCCGCAAACTCCAGGAGACCTCCATGGCTGCCAACCACCGCTCCGACACCACCCTTGAGATGCTCACCGATAAAAGGGTCTGGAAACCCTTCGCTATGCTTCTCGGTGAGTTCAAACCCTCACACTGAAAAAAGCTTACGGGCTTAATAGACGACATAGACGCTATTAGTGCAACGTCACAGAAAAGCGATATATATCGATTTTTTCGCACTGGTAGCATTGAAAGAGGTTATGCCAATGTTAGTGTTTGGATCCAATTCGATATAATGGAGAATCCCTATGATGACGTCGCCACTAATAGCGTCTATACCGTCCGTTCCGGGCGCAACAGTTATCTTACAATCAATGATGAGCTTCGGGTGACGTCCTGAGCCAAACAAGTTTCCCAAACTTCGGTTGGTTTGCAAAACGAAACTCCGAACACGTTGTTTACCATCGATGGTAAGTAGGTCAACAGCTGAATGTTAAAGTCCCGAGACTACCAGCTGCCACCATTGTCAAAATACCAGTGGAGGGTCTCTTCATCTCTTGTCTCTGATGCCACAGTATCCCGGCGCCCCGACCAGGGCCGGATTAAGGGGGTGGCCACATGGGCCGCGGCCCAAGCGGCCCATGGCGGCAAATCAAGGGGGCGGCAACTTTTGCAATTTTTTAAAAAAATCGAATTTTGAAAAAAAAATTACAAACGAGAAAAGGCGACAAAATCTCTCATTTCCTGAGAGTGAAGTAATTTCTAATTTTGTCGTCTTTTAGTGATACAAGAGACAGCAACTTTCATTAATCGAGTTAAGAGAGAAACCAAACACGCAATTTGGCCTGGAACGGCGCGACTTAGAAAGAAATGATGACGAGGACTTGGGATGAAAAGGAGAAGCCCTCGGCGCGGCGGTCGGCATGTAACTCATATTAGCGCCTACAAGACTGCACGAATACTTCAAGCATTGCATCAGACACAGTGCGGTCACTGCGGTCAGCGTGAAACGGATAGCGCCTACAAGAATGCATGAATACTTCACGCATTGCGTCAAATACAGTGCGTTCAGCAGCGGTCGGCGTGAAACGCATAGCGCCTACAAGACTGTCGGAATACTTCACGCATTGTGCCAAACACAGTGCAGTCTGCGCGGCGCGGCGCGGCGGCGGAAGTTAAAATCATTAAACTACATTTGTGTTTGTTCTTTCATCATTTGTTCGTTCATTTCTTATGAATGGAAGGCCTTGTCCACACAGAGATAGGTTTACGGAACTTAACTTTCGCGCAAAGTTCCGTGAACTTTTGCTAGTAGTGTTAACAGGGCTCTCCCAAAAAATATGCCCAACACGAGTAAACGAGTCTTATGCATCCCTCCCCCGCTGGCACGTTTACTTGATGGTTTTTATTGGTATTTCAAAACGAATGAGAAGGGGGCGGCAAAATACAGGCGGCCCATGGGCGGCAAGTAGGTAAATCCGGCCCTGGCCCCGACTAGTCCGGCCCTGGGTTTACCCTGGCCCCTCAAGAGCTACGCCCATGTGCCTGTGTCACACTATCAAAGTTAGCCATCAAAATGTCAAGATCAGGTGTTGTGACTGACTTATTCGATGACTTGAACCTGTGCCACATTGTCAAAACTAATCATTAAAATATTAAGGTCAGGTGTTGTGATTGGCTTATTCGACTACTTTCACCAATCACAGCACTTGACCTCGACATTTTGATGGAGTATTTTGATCGTGTGACACAGGCTTTGGGCCAGTCACAACATTTGATCTTGGAACTTTGATGGAGTTTTTTGATAGTGCGACACAAGATCTGGATCCAACAGTGTCTTTCCTCTATAGGCCTCGATAGACGATCAAATTCCCGAACCAATTCCGATCAAAGTAGCATCAAAGTGTCGGGAGGCATCAGTCTTAAACTCATCAATTTGCTTCATTTTAAAATGAAAACTTGGCAGAAATGTTTCCTGTGGCAGGAAATGATGAATGGTGGCACTCCGTCCTGATCTTAGTTTGAACAAAAAAGTGCGGCCCGTCAAAATTTGATGGTAGATGGCAGGGCCGGATTTACATTTTTAGCGCCTTAGGCTAAATTTAGGGTGACGCCCCTAAAAGTAGGCGCTCTCGTGGGGGGGGGGGTTCCTTCCAGACGCCCCTCCCCTCCAGATCAGAAGGAGGATGTTAGGTGTCCGGAAAATGTTTAAATTCTCCTTTAAAAAATACCTTTGTCAACCACAACGTAGACATTTCTTAAATAAGTCACGTTTTTTAATAAATTCTCAAAAATTTTGCGCCCCTCAAAATGTTGCGCCCTAGGCTATAGCCTATGTAGCCTATTGGTAAATCCGGCCCTGGTAGATGGTGACCACCAGTCATCAGCATGTNAAGAGCTACGCCCATGTGCCTGTGTCACACTATCAAAGTTAGTCATCAAAATATCGAGATCAGGTATTGTGACTGACTTATTCGATGACTTGAACCTGTGCCACATTGTCAAAACTAATCATTAAAATATTTAGGTCAAGTGTTGTGATTGGCTTATTCGACAACTTGCACCAATCACAGCACTTAACCTTGACATTTTGATAGAGTATTTTGATAGCGTGACACAAGCTATGGATCCGACTGTGTCTATCCTCTCCATATCAAGGTAGAGTACTTTTATAACGAGAGTATGGACAGATCGCTTGATGGAGAGCTTAGGGCCCAAAAGTGCAGCCACCCTTCTGAGCAACTTCTAACACACAAAATTTCACTGCCAGCTTACAGATTTCAATTCTAACCAAGATGGCCAAGAATGTACATGAATGAGCGTTCTTTCGCAAAAATAAGTAAAATTGTGCAAAAAGTAAGCCAATCACATGCTTTATAAACGACGGATCGTAACAATTGTATTTGTAAATCGCTCTGGACATTTGAAATTCATAGGTTGGCTGCATTTCTGGGCCCTAACTTTATTCGCGGAGGCATCGGTGAAGGCCTGATGAATTTTCGGAGTTTCACATCTGTCTATACTCTCGCTATACAGGTACTCTATATCAACGTACTGTACATTGCAGGTCTGGCGTTGTTCCAACACCTGTGCGGGTTCTACATCCTGATCTTCTACGCGCCGTACCTGGTGAACCAGTACCGGACCAACATCTACTGGTTCAGCTCGTACACCGGGACGGACTTCCTGCTGCTGGTGGCCACGTCGGCGGCCCTCGTGTTCCACGCCAACCTCCCTCGGAGGACCGTGGCCGGCCTCTCTGGGATCGGCTCTTCTGCGGCTCTCCTAGGTCTCTTCCTCCACGCCCACCTCTTCGTCGCCCCGCAAGACCTCCTCGACCCCACGCCCGATAAGGACATGCTGGTCCCGGTCTTCTTCTTCACCTTGTACATCTTCTCCGCCGTCATGGGGATCTACACTCTACCCTGGATCCTCATGTTCGAGGTATGCTCCCACACTATATAAAAAAAGTAATATGCTCTTTTAGCACCTAGAATGTCAAAAATGTGTCTGGTGATCCCAATATGCTGCCTTTACTGCCCTCGCAGTTAACTTTACATCCTAAGAATGCTAATTCAACTGCGTGGACAATCAAGGAAGCATCGTAAGGTCACCAGACACATTTCTGACATCCTAGGTGCTAAAACTGCATTCCATTTTTTTCAGTGGCATGAATTTGAGTCCTCGTATCGGACCGTGGCACGTGTTGATATGGTGGAAATGAAAAATAGCACAACCGGCTTGAGCTGAAGAAAAACTGTTTATTCTTCGATCATCGTAGAAAAATAGAGAGCATGAAAGAAAAAAAAGGACCGCAAAGAACGGCGCATCAAATACAATATATTGCTAAAAAAGGCTCATCATCTAACGTAAAAAAAATGGTCACACAGGTGTAACATCTGCGTGAAAAACATACTCTTCTAACACTACACGATAGAAATAGTACATGGAAAAGACACATGAATACTGTACCTAAACATGAACATTCGAGAGTTGCCAAATTTTCTTCGATAAAATATTTATTTTTGAGGAAAATTATGAATATTTTTCTTTAGGTCAGAGGAAATTTGGCAACGCCTGAAGGCTCATACGGCGTTTTTCCTTAGCACGGCAGTCGTACCAGCGTTTATGTGAACCTATAGCGGGGGCGCGGGTAAGCAAATATCGATGCATTTAGGAACCCTTGGGATCTTTTTGTGGTGGGAAGGTTCAGAAGGGCACCTCATCACGANGGGGGGGGGGGGGGAGGGAGGGCACAGAAATGCATCTGATGAGCAGGGAGGTCTGGCGGACCGATTGGGGATTCGGAAAGACTTCTGAAAGGAGAACTCGAAAGATCTCCCCGGTAAAATATGGACAGATTGAGTTGTCTCCAAAGCAGTTCATCCAAAACACTATTTTTTTCTTCTTCTTTGACCCATTTCATGATGTTCTCGTGATTCACAGGTCTTCCCGTTGCGTCATCGGGGTATACTCTGCGGCCTAAGCTTCAGCACCCTCTATCTGGGACTCTTCGCGTTCGAGAGCCGGCTCAACAACTACCTGTTGACAGGCATGGACCTCCAGAGCCTCCTGTGCTTCTTCGGGACCTGCGCGCTAGGATTCGCGCTTTTCGCCCGCTCCTGCCTCGTCGAGACGCACAAGAAAACCTTCGAGGAGATCGAGAGAGGCTTCACCAAGGAAAGGATCTTCCTCCCAATCGATGAGAAAATGTAGACCTAACCTAACCTAACCTAACGGATATAGACGAAGCGTCACGACATACTCGATCTCACCTTAAAAATCTGGAATCGTCGGCCACAGAAAATATCACGGTAAAAATGTGTCGTTCAGTTTGAAAATATTTTTTTTTTTTGTAGAAATAAAAATACTAGGTTTTAATTTTAGAATTAGTAATGTTTGATATATTTCTGTCAATTTTTTTTAACACCCGTGTGTTGACTGGATTTTCAACGAGGAATCGGAATGCGTAAAAGTACCTTTCTAAGTGGGCATGGAAAATAAGAGATGAGTTATGGGAGGGGGGGGGGAGTGTCAATCTTTCTTGGTGAAATTTTGTCTTAACAAACGCTCCCGATTATTCCTGTGCTTCACGATTCGTTGTATTTTCCACTCTCTTCATAAGAGATTGCCTTCAATTGAGGAGCTTTCCGGAAAAAGGGCACATAACAAAAATTGCGTTTGAGAGAAATGCATTTGAAGTTTTGATCATTACTCTATGGCCACTGACGGTGACTTTCGTTCAAAATCGGGAGTCCAAGCTGCGATGAAAGGTACCATCAGTGGCCAGAATTTAATAATGGAAACTTGATATGCATTTTTCTCAAACCCTATTTATTGCTATGTGCCCTTTTCCCGGAAAGCTCCTCAATTGCCTTTTCTTTTTTGCCCAGGTTTTTTAACACTATCCACTAGGATATCGCAGTAAATCCGTTTCCTGGAACTAGTAGAAACACATATTTACAGTATTTTTAGTCGATGCAATCACATTCTGCAGAAAGGAATCTTGTCTTTCTTATATATTTTTAAAATTCTTGTTAATGCGAGAAAGTACCTATTTGTTTTTATACTTTTTTATTATTTTAGTTTTTGAAACTGCTGATTTATTCATAGTGCCTATTTTAGTCACCTACGAAGCTAATTTAAGTACAGCTATTGTGTGTTTGACAGAATTTAAGTACAACTGTTGTGTGTTTGAAAGAAAATGATATAAAACACGAATAAATAACGAAATTTCACCTTTTGTTTCGCTTTTACCGGAAGCCTTTTGCAGTTTATTATTTCAGGATTAAGATTTTCCCCGACAAGAAAAGTGAGCGTGCGATTCGCGCCTTAAAAAGTAGAACTAAATAATAGTAGAATTCTTCATATAGGCGGTCCATTGATGCTCCTGGAAGCATGCACACTAAGTTTTTCTTTTCATTTTTTCCCCCTCTCAATATTATTTTTTTAATTTTTGTATTGACAACTCAAACGACTGATGCTTTTCGGGAAAAAATTTTCCGTAAAACTGACAGTTATCCGTCGGAGACCAAAGAAAACCATAGGAAAAAATGTATCTGGCTTCGCTTAGGAACAACATTTTCACCATGATTTTCCTTATGCACACATGTGTTTTTACAGATCAGCCAGAAATTGTAGTTTCGAATAGCAAAATGTAGTCAGTATGATCACGCCATAACGTATCGCTGAGCTACGAGGGAACCTACACGTAAAAGTCGTTTCATTTGCATGCCTCTATTTAGAATTATTTATAAAAATATGTACGTAAAGAAAGGAAAATTAGTTGGGTTTGACGTAATATTTTATCATTTGAATCGTGTCGTGTGGAAACAGCTGATGTCCATTTTTTCAGTATTCAATTTTTTCATATTGATAATACTTCTTAAGATTTGATACAATCATGAGAGTGGTGGTTATACTTATTTTGGGATGAGTATAACCCTAAATCAAGTATAAACACCGATTTCATTGTTGCATTTAAATCTGGAAAGTATTATCAACTAAAAAACTCAAGACTGGGAAAATGGACATTGGCGGTTTTCGTACAACACGATTCATTTGAAATAACGATAACTGTAAAAAAACTTCAAAATCATGAGTTGAAAACCGCCGACGCCGTAAGTTTGAATAATCTCGTCAAACACAGTGCGGCCGACGCGGCGCGGGCGCGCACGGCGCAAAACATGTAATAGCACCTTACAAGACCGCAAGATACTTCATGCATTACGCATATAGCATACGATCCGCGCGGCGCATAGTAGCGCCTTACAAGTCTGCAGGATACTTCATGCATTACGCATACAGCACGATCCGCGCGGCGCATAGTGGCGCCTTACAAGTCTGCAGGATACTTCATACATTGCGCGTATACTACGGTGCGCGCTCAAGTCGTTGAAAAGTCTTATTTTCTTGGTCCCTGGTGTACACCATTTTCGATTAGTGCACATCGCAAGATTTCAATCCTAGGATCACAGGACTGTAGAGATTTCGCAATTCTGTATGTTTTCCGGTGAAATCATAATTTTCGAGTGGAAATTTTTCATGTTGGAATGCTGTTACGTTCTATCGTCCGGAAAACGTCAAACTTAGCTAACTGCCAGGGAGAAAAAGGGGACATATTTTTTCACCACAAATGTGGCAAAATTTCTAGGGAGATATATTCTTGGTATTACATTCACACCAAAATGAACTCTGACAATCTAACCTAACTTCGGCAATTTTGCAAAATGACCTAGGTATGCCTACACCGAAAAAAATAATATGCTGTTTTAGCATCTAGGATGTCAAAAATGTGTCTGGTGATCCCAAGATGCTGCCTTTACTGCCCCCGCAGTTGAATTTGCATTCACAGGATGTAAAATCAACTGCGGGGGCAGCATCCTGGAATCACCAGACACATTTTTGACATCCTAGATGTTAAAACAGCATATTATTTTTTTCGGTGTAAGTCGCAAATCGAAAAACTATGGGGGGAGGGGATTCCACCGCGGTACCGCGATGGGCCGGTCGGCGGTCTGTTGGCGATTTTCCGGGCCGCTTCGAGGAGCCAGTCCGCTTCTGGTAGTTGCAGTGGACAAAGAGGGTAGGTAATAGAGAAACTAACGGCAACCCACGGGATACCCTTCAGATAAGCAATATTTTTCTCCCCTAGTCTATTAGAACCACACATCTCAACCAATAGGATCGCTCCATTAGCTCCTTTACTCTTTGTCCATATAGCTTTGTCTATCAATCAGCCCGCAGCAAGAAGGAGAAAGAAATAAACCATAATTAAGTGATCAGAAAAGGGGAGGGGGATAAATTATTTTGTGTCTAAGACTTTGAGAGGCTTTTTGCCTGATATGGATAACTTTTATGCGCCATATAATGAACCGAATAAATGGGGGAGATCGGACATGAATATTTTCACCAAAACTGCAAATTTACATGTTCATTCCGTCAAATTTTAAATTTTGAGGGGTGATTCTTATAACAAATTTTACGAAAAAACCAATGGTGTCATTTTTAAGACCTCAAACTTTCGTAAAAACGAAGTTATAAGCGTTGAAAGTTTGCAAAGTTTGACTGACCTCTCCCATCGACTCGATCCACTGCGCGCCACAAGGCGAGGGGAGGCGAGCGGAGTGCGCACATTGGCGGATCCAGTAATTTGGCAACGCCGGATTCCCTCCATTTAAACCTATGGAAATGTATCGATTATTGGAGGGGCCAGGTGCTTCGACAAGAATCGATTATTTAACATAGGTTTAAATAGAAGGAATCCGGTGTTGCCAATTAGTTGGATCCGCCTCTGAGTGCGCACAACAGTCCGAGAATCCGGAGAGACAAAACGGTCAAAAACAGTACTGAGTAGGTATACTTCCTCCGAAGAGGTCAATGACCGCGCGGCATTCTCCGCGCCACCGTGCGTTTGCATTGTCTTCTCACCAGGTGCCGCTGGCAGCGGGCTTCTCTATCATGGAAAAAAATACACAACTATAAGTCATTTGCTGAGCCGCTTTGTTGCTTTACTCATTTTTTTTATATCATGAATCATTTGTATTTGCGTATCAGAAGACCAAAGCCGTATGATAGCACCTGCACCTCACTCAACAAACACCGCACCTGCGAAGTCCAAATTGCAAGACTTCGAATCGGCCATACTTTTTTCTCTCATTCTCATTTGATTTCAAAATCTCCAGTTCCATTCTGCTCTCTACGTCATAATTCCCCCCTTACAATCGACCATATTTTGGTTTCTTGCCCAAAAACGTATGCTACACGCATCAAAATTCCAAATTCTCTCCCTTTAAACATCCATCCTTTAAGCTCAGATGATCCAATAGTAGGTAGTCACCAAAATTTTAAAACTCTTTAAGCGATTAAATTTAAAAATTTGAGGTTTCCTGGTCTCCGACGTAAATAGCCTGGTTGTTGATCGTCGTAAATTAACTAACCAACCAACCAATAGAGTCAATTTGGGGGGGGGGGGATGAAAATTTTATATAGTTTCTGAACGCTCCTAACAAGCACTATTTGAGCAGAAAAATGCATGTAAACAAAAACAGTAAAAGGATGGCTCTCCTTGGGAACAATTGAGGGGCTTGGAGAACAAGGCGCACAAGTGCAATTTTTATAAAAAACGGAGCTATTAATGAATTCAAGTGAAACTAGTCTCGATGCATAATGCGCTCTCTAATTCCAATTTTTCAGCATTAAATAGTCAGTTTGAACTTTCTCCTTGCTATAAGGATCCATATAATTTCGAACCCTTCACATGCATTTCTCGAAATAGCAAAAACTGCTCTTACGCGCCTTGTCCTCCAAGCCCCTCAATTGTGTCTGAAATCAAGAAATATTTTGAACTTAGATTGAGCTACTATTCTGTAAAGATGATGCTTTCCCTGTTCATTAAAACTTTTTCCTTTGATTTCACAAGGAGGAGGGGGGGGGGGCAGAAATATTTAGGATGTTATGTGCAATTTTTTTTCCTTTTGACTTTCTTATCTTAGCTTTCCTCAGCTTTCCAGTTGTGTAAAAGCTGTTGTCTTCCCAACAAGAAATTTGTCTGCGATGCATAAGGGAAAGAGGTAAAAAATTGAACAAATGAAATAATTGAAGAAATAATTTATTTATTTATGGTTATTTTGGTGTCATGCGTATTGAAAAAACAATTGTGTTGACAATTCATACAACTCAAAGTTGCAGCATGTATTCATTGACGTTACTTGATAATAAAAACAAGTGCCTACATCTATCGGATCAAACTCAAACAAAAGAGAAAGGGAGAAAAAGAGGACATAATATTATTTACAAAACAAACAAAATTAACAACATGATTCCAAAGCTTTTCTTAGAAAAAATTATTTCTCTCATAAATTTTGAAACAGATAAAAATGGTACGTAGGCAACATGATTTGAAACAATTATAAACATTTTAATGGTAATACAACAGATGATAAAAATAAAAATTAAAAAAAGGAAACATGCACATTAAAATAAACTGTACCTATTTCTCTACAACCCTCTATCAGTCAAAACTGCAGTTAAAATATTTTTCATTTCTTTATACAATATTTTACAGTGATGAGGAGCATCTATGGACAAATTTGACTGATTGCGTCAAATTAATCTAGGTACTTCATGAGCAGATTTCTCAGTCACATGAAGAACCATTTTATCATTTTCATCTTGAAATTATCATTGTTGCTGTAAATGATCATAAAAATTGTTGTTAAGAATTTCACATGATGCTCTCTTTAAAAGCAGCAGATTTACCTGTTTGAAATGATTAATCTGAAAATTACATTATTAGCACCTGATACAGGGTTCAACGGTACAATTGGATACCATCGAATATAGTAATAAATACTTTAATAAAGCTAATACTCAGTATCTATTTTAATATTTACAAAAAAACCATCTAATTTTTGTATCGTTACTTGAACCTTAATATACTTGATTTGAATGATCTATGTCAAATTTTATTTGCACCATCTCTTTGTAACAGGAATCTTCCAAAACTAAAGATTTAACTAAAAAAAATTTAAGAAGTAGAATTTTTATTTCACATGATTACAGGTGTAGGAAAAAAAATATAGGTAAATATGATTGCGAGCACAATAGGTGAACAAAACATAGAACCTACCTACCTGGATACCTCTTAAATGCAAGCAAGAAGAGTCAAGTTAAGTCTTACCTTTCATTAGTCTTTCAATTAGACTACAGAGCGAAATTTTTTTTGGAAATATCAAGGAAATATGAAAAATTGCACTCATGA